GCCTGGCTGCGCCCCCCTCCAAAACGGGCACAGCCGAAACGTGGGGCAGCCCCGGGGGGCGCGCACCGCCTCTGAGACCTGCGGAGGGGGGCACTTCCCCGTTAACGTCAACGTGCCGCTTGGTCAGCTTGTCTTTAACGGGATCAAGAATCGTCTAGCCGACTAATTGGTTAGCGAGCATGTTTTCCGCCGGTGGTTTTCAGATTGGGTGTATCTGCTTGGACTGGTGCGAGGTGGCTTTAGCTGCGCGCAATGCTAAAAAGACTTCAACGGCGTTGCTGCCGATTTTGCACAGAGCGGCTCTGTACATCGCTGTGTAGCTGGGTCGCCTTAAATCTAAACGAGGGCTCAGCAGGATTCGCTAAGAAACGAAGCGGCAGCCAGTTCTGTGTAGGAATAACTTTTTTCGTTAGGTAGTCCCTCTGAAGTCACAACTCTTCGGCAATGTCAATGACTGCTGTATTAGTCCTTGTGATCCTTACCTTGCAAACTGCATTAAGAGGAGCCCCGGGAGCGTAGCGGCTGCCAGCCTGCTGGAGCTCTGAGTGGGGTTCCACCTTCTCATTCCTGCAAACAGAGCCTTGCAGACAATTTAGTTGGAAGGCGTTGGGACTGCTGGTGCAAGTAAAGGCAGTGGTATCAGACCCACCGACCCACTTTGCAGCTAACAGCGTGTGCTTAGAGCCTCGTGATCCCGCATGAAATGAATGTCCCACTGACAGATTTAAAAAACCTTAGCAGCCCTGGATTACATCTTTCCCCACTTTTTTATTTAATTATCCAGCACACGTATACTAAATGTCCTCTGAACCCCCTGGGAGCTTTCATTTGTTTAAATAATTCCTCCTTGTCAGTAGCATGGCAGTCCAGAAATTGTTATTATGCCCAAGTTAGTGCGCTTTCTCTGCCTGGTGTAAACCACGGAATAATAAATGTGGATCCCTTTGCTGCCTGCCTCGGGGGAGGGAGCGCGAAATGGGGTGTTGCCCATGCAAGTGTCCCCTTCTGCACAGACTGTTCTTCTGCTGTCCAGCACCTTCTAGCAGGCAGGGAATGCCTCCTGCTAGCGGGTCCTGGTGGTGGCCCTCCTGGGGGGTTTCTTTTCCCTGCCTAGTGTTTGGAACTGGCTTTGAAAGCCTCCCTAACTGAACCTTATCTGTGTAGGAGTTACACATTGAAAGTCTGTCTTTCCCCGTTTTGATATATTTCTGCAATAAACCCCTTGGCGCTGGTGGAATTTTGCAGGTCAAGGTTATTGGCTTGTGAAGTCAAAGTTACCCATGGTGTTTGCAAGTCTACACCCCCTGTTTCGGACGTCTCTAATTGCAAGAACTATTATTATTTTCTCTAATGGTATTACACATCTTTATTAGAAAAATGTCGCTGTTGAACATGGAAATGGACGGAAATCCTGTCCAAGTTACCCAGGAGAATTTCCAGCAAGAAAAGCCCATAATCCTAGTCAGTAATCTGGGACAGATTTCCAAGGTTCAAATACAGATGCGAATCAGTCACCTGTGGAGTTGCAGGGTGGATAGCTGTAAAGCCCCCAGCGTTGTGTTTACTGCCTGGACAACGTGTCATATTTGGCACTGGAGGATGGCTGTGCAAAACTGATCTGCCAGTTCAGGTGAAGCAGAAAGGGTCCTCTGTATCTTCAGTAAGCAGGGACTGTGGTTTGTCTACACCCATGTCCAGACTGCATAGTGCCTGTGGGCTTTGCTAGTGCTAGCTAAGCTATGGAATAACGTCAGTGTTGGGAAAGAAACGGGGAGCTCCCGCTGTTCCGTGCCTGGCCAGCTGTCTGCTGTGTGTGACACTGGCTGAGATGCTCGCAGGACGGTTCCCTACATTTGCCGTGCTTCTGCCACGATAGCTCTCCGTCTGCAGTGTACTGTGCACTGCAATTCCCTTGAAGGGATAGATTTCCAGCAAAGAGACAGCAAGGGAGACCGGCAAGCTTGGACAGAGTAGCAGATTGCAGGTATAAGCCCTCATGAAGAGATGCTTTATATTGATGAAGAGATGCAGCAGAACCTTGCAAGCAGATGAATTTCTTATCCCCAGCAGCTGTGTGTATCATCGGAGAGGAGGGTAGTGACTCTGTGCTTTTCACAGTATGTTATGGTCAGGGGCAGCTGTGGTGGGTGAATACAGTCAGCTTTAATGTCTTCATGTGGCCTTGTTGGAGGGAGACATATATAGCACCAGCATGTCATAGGTTTGTTCATATATGTTTGGACAGAAGTTGGTTTTAAATAGCTTTATAACCTCATTTATATCTTCTTCTACCCACTGGCTGGATCATGACATCAACACCATAGAGAGTACCAAGAGGACAAAACAGCCTTGAATTTGAGTCTTTCATTGTTGCCCTTATAAATTGTGCTCAAGCCAGGGAGCATGCCCTACGTCTGTCTTCTCGTTCCCAGGTTGCACTGAGAAGGCAGCAAGCTCAGGAAGAGGAACTGGGCATCAGCCACCCGGTGCCCCTGCCCAGTGCCCCCGAGACGTTCGTTAAGAAGAACAGTGGTGGCAGCTCTTGTCTCTTGTTGGAAAACAGCAGCCCTACGCACTCGACAAGTACAGCCACGACGGCAGCTAGCGCACCATCAGGTAAAGTGCTGGGAGAGCGGTGCTCACTGCTTCGGGCGAGGGTGACGTTGCTTACGCCTGCCTGCTGTGGCACCTCTTGCTGTGCCTGCAGCGGCGGGGTGGTGGAGAGTCCCCTCTCCAAGAATGGTGTTGCACTGTTGGTACGGTTAGCAAAAGGGAAGAACCCAGCATCAGTCTTTCATATTTTGATTATTTTTACTTGAAAATCAAAATGAGTTTGGTATGGCACTGTAATTGAACTCAATAGGGTGTATACCTGCAAGATTTATGAGGAACAAAAGTTCTCCTTTCTCCCAAAATATGTGTTCCTGCCACAGCCCTGGCAACTGCGTGTTCGCTGGCTGTGTATCTTCAAAATTGGAGAGTTTTCAGCATTGTATAGGAGCCAACTATGTAGGTAATGTTACTGACCGCAGCAGCAGAGAGCTGCCCACCTTATGTGACTTGATGTGGTGGTACATCTGTTCTGTGTGGCCAGGTGTGATGAACTACGAAAGACTGACGCAGTCCTTCCACTCTGCTACACCTTACTGTATTGCATTTAACCCTCGTAAAACAAAACAAAAAAACGTAAAAAAAAAGCAGTATTTATCTGTAGATTCAGTATAACTAAACACAACTGGGACTTAAAGGCACCGAAGTGAAGATTCTAGGCAAAATGCTTTTTCCTGTGCAGAGGTTATGCCTGACAGATACAGCAATTGAGTATGTATAAAAATGAAACTGATGTAATTGACTTCTGCTGTATAGCCAGAAAAAAGAAAAAAGCAAACAAACATAGAGGAAAGGAAAAGAAAATTTCATTGATTTATAATAATCTGTGCTGATGTCAATAATAGAGGTGAATATAATTTGCGGTTAAAAAGATGCTTCTAAAGTAGACAATGCCTTGCATTAACTAATAAAAGGACAGCACATATGTGTGTCTGTCAAACGACATCACTCTGTTTTGCAGGCCATTTAAAGCCTTGTCAGGTGGATTTGTTGCATCCATTGCAGACAGGCAGTTTCAGACCAATGTGGAGGAATTTCTTCAGGAAGCTTTTAGAAGAACTGGTTGATAAAACAATAAATAGCTTTTTATTAGCTTTTTTGTTTTCATTATTGCAGTCATGTTAGTGTCACCTTTGAATCGATGCAATTACTCCTTTCATATTTGGATTACTGCATGCTTTGTCTCTAGATACGGAAAAAGGTGGCTAAAAATTAAAGTAGTATATTCAGTAATGTATAGAGATTGTCTGTTACTCAGGAGAACAAGAAAACCCTTGCTTATACAGAAAGGCCAAAAAGTGAAATTGTCTTACTGTCAACAAAATTTGCGTAAGCTTTGGTCTTAATGTTTTTAAAATGTCAGTGGAGGTATTTAATTCATTAATCCCACTTTAATAATTTCTTATTAATTGAATTAAATTATGGTCTTTTAATGAAAAACATTCATTAAACAAGCTTAAGGCAATTCACGTGCTTGTATAAAGACTTGAAAACATGAAAATGCCTAATTTTAAAGTAATTGGAATTGTTTGAAAAGTTTTAGTCAAAGCAATTGTAAATGGTTTGCAGTCATCTCTCACAGTGGATTTTTCTTTGTGAGTGATTCAAATACATTGTTTCTCAAGCATTTTACTAAATAACTGCGTGAGGGTGACAACATTTAAAATACACAGCTTCATCTCCGGAGAGAAGATGTGATTCCAGCTAAGGATCGTGTCAGGGTCAGCTTTGTGTACCAGAAATGTAAGAATCTGGGAATGAATAGGAAATTGGGTTCGGAATTTTGGTTTTGGGCACCTAAGTAGCAACAGAAATTCATGCTTAGCTCAAAAGCAACTGTACTGCATAAAGTTCTGTCCCAAATAATTTTGGTAGGTTCGTCTGTTGAAAGCAGCGTTAAGTACTCGTGGGTATGGATTTAACACCACCCTGACTGCGTGCTGGCTCTGAAGCTGCAGAAGGTGCTCTGTGTTCAGCCAGTTCTGTAGGGTGGCTTCATCAGATGTCAGGGTACAGGCTTCACCCTGGAAACTGATCTTTCAGTGGGGAATACTCTTAAATACTCTGATGCTTTCTTTTTTTAGCATATAAAGATCTTTTGTTAGATAAGAAACTGCCAGGTGTGATGTGACATGAAATTCTTGGTTTAGGTGTCAGGTTGTTTCAGGACCAGGTACTCGGAGAATTCTTGCATTGCTGTTTTGTCATTTTACTGGTACCCTCAACTGCAAGCAAGATGAGAGACGCTGTCGGAGCAAGTGCACAGTGTCTCAGTTTGGTAGGCTGAGATACTGATTTTGCAAGAATTTACAGTGAAACCCTTTGTGGCAGGGGAAGTCAGCAGCTCCCTGCAAGCCCCAGGGGAACCGGTGGCTCCTGGGAGTGCGGCGTGCCCTGTACGACACGCATTAGACTGGGCAAGAGATGGTTTTGACAGTTGGAATTCTGTTCCTCCTGTAAGTTTTTGGCTTCACAAGAACAGTTTTTCTTTTGGACTCCCATCACACAGAGCGTTGTTTGCCAGCAGAGGAGTAATGTGTGAAGGAGTCACACAAATCAGACATAGTGCCAGAGAGAGAGTCTTTCCTCGCTGTATCCCTTTTATCGACAGATCAGAAATATTGTGACACCTGGAGAGACCAGAGACAATTTTTCAGATTCCTTCATGACACGCTGTTTTTGAAAAGGGGAAAAATGAATTATCATGGTCATAGCATATGGGTTTGTGCATTTACCATCTCAACCTCGGAAGCCGTGTTTACTTTGGATGGAGCGTATCTTCCCCACTAAAAAGCAAGGGAATTTGCAGGGTAGTTGGAAGGGAGCAGACCGTGGTCACAGGGCATTAGCAAAACCTCTTGCAAACAGATTTTGTCGTTTCTGTGCATTTTCCCTTAAAGAGTTGCAGGTTGCTGAGCGCAAAGGCCATTTAATTGTACAGAGCAGCAAAAAGTCATGATCCCAGGGCATCTAAAGTAATTGTCCTTCCTTCTGTAGGGTAAATACATCTTGTTAGGTTAACTAGTGTGCAGAAGTCAGGAAAAGACTATGGTAAGGCATTTAGAACATGCCTTTCAGACATACTCAGTTTTTTAAAACCTGGCTTCATCCCTGTTCCATGTCAGGGGGGAGGGTGCGGAGCGTGATCATGTAACAGCTTTGAGTGCGAGCTGCTCATAGTAAAGGAAGGAGACAGTGCATTTCACCTTTCCTCTATTTTATTTGGTCCTCATCACAGACTAAGGGTCATGTTTGGCATTTGGTGGATGAGGTGGTGTGGCTGCAACATACCTCACCGGATGACTGGAAACACCCCATTCTGCTGCTCTGTGTTCGTGTTGGCCTAAGTTAGAAGCATCCAATATGGATGAGATTACTGTGTGATGCTAAATGCCAGCTCCTGCTCCTGTGCTCTGCGGTGGTCGATTACCCGTTGGCTTTGTAATGACCATTAATAACAGCATTGTTCAGGTGCCTTTGTAGTGTCACTGGTTGACAAGTTAAACATGTCATTGTCAACAATTGTGAGTAATAAGCTTTCGCTTGTTAATTCCCTTTGCTACATTTATTATGTGTGATGGAAACAAAATACTGTTCTTCTTACATTTCTCTAAGTAGGTGCTGCCTTGACTTTGAAACTCTTTGAGGAATAGATGGGAGTTTTATCTGCTCATAAATACAGACTGTGGTGGGGTCAGCAGTAATACGATGCCTAACGAATGATGGTACTGAGATCCTTTTGAACTTGCAGTGCCCTAGGTGCCTCTGAAAACCCTACCTTGCCGTCTTTCCTCTTCCTTTGCCTTTTTGATGTTATCTTTTGCATTGACCTTTTCTATGACACTATTGTGATTCCGAAAATTGATGCCATGATGTTGCAGATGTTGTGCTGCATAGGTAGTTAGGTAAAAAAATAAGTTACTATAATTGGAAGATAACATGGCCTCGTTTTAAAAAAAGTGAGAAATTTTCTTTTTGAAAGAAAATCCTTTTAAGTCTTTACAGCATAGAGTTATATGCTGCCAGAATTTTGGTTTTGTCAAAAAAGTCTCATTCTAGTCAACTGATGGGCAACATGAGGAAGCTGCCTTGGACATTTTACTGTGAGAGCGCTTAAACACTGGAACAGGTTTCCCAGAGAGGTTGTGGAGCCTCTGTCCTTGGGGAGACTCAAAACTCAGCTGGATGGTGCCTGAGCAACATGATCCAACTGTGAAGCTGGCCCTGCTTTGAGCAGAGTTTGGGCCAGCTGGCCTCCAGAGGTCCTTTCCAAACTAAACTATGCTGTGAATCTATGAAATGTCTACCTCTTTGTATTGACATTAAGTCAATGTATTGAAATTTGAAATTCAGCCAGCCTCAATGCTGATCAGCATTTGCAAGCCTGGGAAAGAAATCCTGACTCTTTTGACCTAAAACCACTCCATGACTGAATCTATGTATATTTCAACAGAAAATCAGCATCATGGCGGTTGGCAGTGGTGGAGAGGATTGCTACTTCAAGTGGCAGCAGCCTCAGCAGGGCCGAGCAGTAAGGAGAAGGAGGCATTAGCTGCTTTGCCTGCCTGTGCCATGGCTAACATAATGGCAGCATGTCCTCAGAGGTCTTGGTGGGTCTGCAGTGGTTACTGGTCCATCATCCTGCTTTTTCCTTTTGTCTTTGTCTCATCATTACTTTCTAAGGATGAAATTCTCCTGCTGCACCCACTATTACTTCTTCACCAGTTTTAGTTGCTGGCTGCCTCCTGGTCCTGCCAACTCTCCTCTGATACCAAGAGCCAAGCAGCCCGATCCATTGCTTCCTGGTGCTTTTCCCCAGCTTCTCCCACAGCCAACAAATCTCTGTTCAAAAGAAGAGAGTATAGTTGAACATGATGTGTCTTTACTGGATTGTAACAGCTGGCAAACAAACAAGTTCTGCATCCTTCACCTGTGAATAACTAATACTGTTCCATCCATAATCATCTGTTTTTCTCCAGTTGGTTGCACTTGAGAGAAAAAGAATC